CTAAACTAGAATGCTGTTGTCAAGTATTGTTTTACATTCTTTTATGTCCTAGGAATTAATCTGTTTGTTAAATGTTTATTTCCACTAAATAAATAAAACAAGGTTTTTAAGATGTATTCAGAGCTCCTAATTTTGGTAACAAATAAATTTGCAAATAAATACTATTGTTCAAAAGTTTTGGGGTCAATGATTATATATATATAAAAAGATCAGAAGTGAGAGTAAACAATGCCACATTGTTACAAACTATTAAAATATATTTATATATAAAATGCAAAATTATGTTCCATTAATAATAATACAATTAGTTATATATAACATTCGAATAAAACCGTAAAATGCATACAAAATATTTATATACTTCTATAACAATAGTATACAATGCATTATTACAAGTACATTATACTGTATGTTCATTTATGCAAAATATTTTTATTTCAAATAAATGCTGTCCTTTGGTCTTTCTGTTAGTAAAGGAATCCTGAAAAATAATGTATCAATAATCAATAATGCATGGTTTCCACAGAAATATTAATCACAACTGTTTTCCCACATTGATAATAATCAGAAATGTTTATTGAGCAGCACATCAGCATATTAGAATGATTTCTGAAGGATCACGTGACACTGAAGACTGGAGTAATGATGCTGACAATTCAGCTTTGCATCACAGGAATAAATTACATTTGAAAATTAATTAAAATAGAAAAACAATTATTTTAAATGCTAATAATATTTCAAAATGTTAGTTTTATTTTTTTATTAAATTAATGCAGACTTGGTGGGCATAAGAGACTTCTTTCAGAAAATTATTATATTATATTATTTAAAATAAAATTATTATATTATATTATATTATTTAAAATAATGTTATTTTATTATATTACGTGAAGTTCTATTTTACTTTATGCTAATTATATGTTTGTTATTATTATTATTATTATTATTATACATTTCCTGAAGGTTAAGCACCTTTTACTTTGACATAAGGATCAAAAAATTGTTTACTTAGTTGAAGCACATCCTCGGCTGTCTGTTGTTTGTGACAAACCTTTAGTTTGTAAGTCTGAGTAAGTCATACCTGTCATTTTCAGCACAATATAGTGACAGTGAAGGATCACGTGACACTGAAGACTGGAGTAATGATGCTGACAATTCAGCTTTGCATCACAGGAATAAATTACATTTGAAAATTAATTAAAATAGAAAAACAATTATTTTAAATGCTAATAATATTTCAAAATGTTAGTTTTATTTTTTTATTAAATTAATGCAGACTTGGTGGGCATAAGAGACTTCTTTCAGAAAATTATTATATTATATTATTTAAAATAAAATTATTATATTATATTATATTATTTAAAATAATGTTATTTTATTATATTACGTGAAGTTCTATTTTACTTTATGCTAATTATATGTTTGTTATTATTATTATTATTATTATTATACATTTCCTGAAGGTTAAGCACCTTTTACTTTGACATAAGGATCAAAAAATTGTTTACTTAGTTGAAGCACATCCTCGGCTGTCTGTTGTTTGTGACAAACCTTTAGTTTGTAAGTCTGAGTAAGTCATACCTGTCATTTTCAGCACAATATAGTGACAGTGAAATGTCCAGCTGAAGTCATAAAAAGACTGGATTGATTGAGTCTGAGTGGTGTTGGTTGTCGTGGAGGCCCTGACTCAATTCCACTCGGAACAAAGACGCCATTGATCCTCGGCTGCTCACATTATCCCACAGCCGCTAGTGGAAAGAGGCTTTGTCAGTCCTTAGTTTCAGAGAAAGCAATTTTTCAGAGAAGCTGAAATGAGCTCCAAACACGCACCTCTCCAGCTCACCAGCAATGACTTGCTCCGGAAGTGTTAACATTGTCTATGTTTGAGCAACTCGACAGAGGATGCTACACAATACAACTGTCATGTAATACAGATATCAGTATCATTTCAAAATGATTAACTAAAATGTCACTTGCAATGCTTCTCCTTTATTAGAATTTATATTTTATAAAAGAAAAGAAAATAGAGAAGAAAAGAAAAGAATGATTTAAAAAAAAAATAATAATAAAAGGTTGCACAGAAAAAAGCTGCACCAAAATTCTTCGTCTTAAGGACACGTCAGCCTTTTCAAAGGAACAGTGTTCAAGAAACCTCCTTTTGAGCGCTTCATTAAGCAAATGTTTGAAGGGCAGGATTTCACCAGCAAACTAGACATTGTATACAGACTATTAGGAATCCTGTATACAATACACACCCTATTATATTACACAGAACAGATTAGAATGCACTAAGTTAAAATGTCCAAATATTCTTACATGCAGATTGCATGCAGATGCAATTACAAATTGTTCAGTAACATACAAAGATCATTCGAAATCTGTCGATTGATGATAATATGATAAAAAAATATATGCATCAAGATATGCATAATAAATGGGTTTCTCATTCTAACACCACGTCATGCCTTAAATTACGAAAGCCCATTAATGTAGCCCTCTGACATCACGGATCAGAGCTCAGCCAATCCTAAAAAGCCCAATCATACTAGTCTTCAATAGCTTATCATGACTATCTGCTGACCTGTCTTTGGCGCCGAACCAAATAAAGGAGTTAATGCAAAGTTTGCTTGCAAAATAAGGCTGAATAGCATTAAAGCACTGAATCACATTCCAGAACAGAAGAGGGGTGGGCGGAGCTTCAGGTGAACAGGTATAAGAGCTGTACAGGTGAGAGAGAGACCAGGAGTCTAAGTCTGAACACACTCAGCAGGGAAGCCGAGAACAGGTGAGGAGCCAACATTACAGGGACTTTGTGCTGGTATCTTTCTCTGAAAGCTTTGCTACAGGTTGTTTTCAAGCATGCAACACCACTAACTGCTGGGACAGATGTTAAAAACCATGCTTTGTCATATTGAAATGTTTCATTCTTTTAGCTTATGAAGATGCTTAAAGAATTACTGTCGGTGCTCCTGGTCCTGGTGACCTTGTCTTCTGCCATGGGGAAGCCTGAGAAGACCACTCCCAAGAAAGAGAAGAGGATTCCTCAGACTCTCTCCAGAGGTCAGCTTCATGAATACATGCCAAAATATTATTTTGAGTGGCTTTTGTAAAACTATGGCTAAGTAGAGTGCTGTAGTGAGCTGTTAGAATAGCAGAACTGAAGCTGCATATCAACTATATGCAAAAACTAGTATAAGGAACAGTTTCGTCAAGGTTGCATTTAGAAATTATTCTAGTGCTTTACTGTGTGAAATGCTATCGTATGCCTCACTTTGTGCAATACTGATGTAGTAGCAGTTATCATCCACATCGGCTGAGTAGATGTTGGTTTTTAGGATTCATATTCGGTATTCTTTTCCTTTCAGGATGGGGTGATCAGCTGATTTGGGCACAGACGTACGAGGAAGCTCTGTTTTGGTCACGATCCAAGTGAGAAAAGCTTGTATTATATAGAATTATAGAGTATGTGGTGTTCAATAATCAGTCATGTGTGCATATAAGGTCAATTGATGATTTTTGAAATATATACATTTTTTTAAAACTTGAATAATCTGTTTAATTAGAAACAAGCCCCTCATGGTCATCTTTCATCTGGAGGACTGTCCACACAGCCAGAGTAAGGCTTGACTTTTATTTTGACATTTTCACTGTAGGTTAGTTTAAAACTCTCAATTTGTTCTTCATGTTTGTATTATTATTTTATTTTTATATGTTTTATATGATCTTATCAGCACTGAAGAAGGCTTTCGCTGAGGATAAAGACATCCAGAAGTTGGCTGATGAGGAATTTGTGATCTTGAACTTGGTGGTGAGTAACACTTTACTATTTATTAACATTAGACTTACTTAATTACACTAGTTAAAAATATTCCCAAAGCATTTATTAATCTTAGTTAATGTTAATTTAACAAAATTAAACACTGCATATGTTAATAGCCTATTACTCAATGTCCAACATGAACTAACAATGAACAGCATTTTTTATTAACTTGCATTAAATAAGTACTGCGACAAATGTATTGCTCATTGTTAGTTAATGTATAATGTAGTTAATGTATTGATCTCTAGGTTCTAGTCTGTCTGTTATGTGTATAAATGTCTGTAAATGGAACTGTCTTGTCTTTTACAGTACGAGACCACAGATAAACACTTGTCTCCTGATGGCCAGTATGTTCCCAGAATCCTCTTTGTTGGTGAGTTGATTTAATTATGACTGATACATAAATAATGCTACACATTATGAAGTCTGCATAAATGATTCAAATCCTTCCTGTATTCCAGATCCCTCCATGACTGTTCGTGCAGACATCACTGGCCGCTATGCCAACCGCTTGTACGCCTATGAACCCAACGATATGAAACTCTGTAAGTCTGAAAGCTGTTGCAATGCCAACATTAGTTATTCCACGTCATCAAACTGACAGCATCATGCGTTTGGTTTTGTTTCCACAGTGTTGAGCAACATGCAAAGAGCCATGAAGTTTCTGAAGACAGAGTTGTGAACACAAAAGCCAAGTCTTTTTGTCCGCCAAAAGGATATTATTTCCCCGAGGGCCACTATTATTCTGTCATTTGTTTACTGACGGCATGAAACGCACTGTAAAGCCCTGTACAAAATTGAAATGTGTTAGAGTAGATTGTTATGGTAAACTTCAGGCTTTCTTTTCATGTTTTTTCAATAAGTAAAGTTTCTTGAAAATTCGCTTATCCTGGTAATTTGTTTAAGCAGTTATGTTCGCACCGGTTATTCAAAGCAGAGGCCATGTGGGTTTTAAAGGGACAGTTCACCCAAAAATGAAAATTCAGTCATACTCACCATCAACTTGCTCAAAACTTGCTTGAATTTATTTCTTCTATTGAACACAAATAAAGATATTTTGAAGAATGTTGTAACCAAACAGCTGCTGGTAGACATTGGCAAAGTAGTATGGAAAAAAAAAATACTATAGAAGTCAATGGCTACCATTGGATAGTTTGGGTAACTGTCCCTTTAACGGAGTCTCCTCCGGCTAGTATCCTGGTGGGAGGAGTCAGAGTAACTGGCAGCATGTTTTCCTGAGTCATATTGTTGCCTGGTTACTAGCTGCCTTTGTAATACACTGAGCTCTTGGCCTCAGCGTGTCGGTTTCTGATTGGTTTGAGGATAGAGGAAGTTGCTCTCCTGAAATACTCCACTGAAATGGAATAAGATTTCAGACAATAAAAGCATTTGCCATAAGCATTGTGGAAAACCAGCAGTTAAGTTACACAAAGACAAAACTAGCCAAAGTACAATTGTGTCCTCAAAGAGTGTTTATTTTTTTCTGATTTCAAATGCTTGAGAGCATAGTTCACAGAACCATTGGATACATTTCAATGAGGAATTCATGCAAGAAGACAAAACGATACACACAATCAAATTGGTAAACTAAGTAACACGCATAATTTGAAAATGAAATAAGCAGATAAATATGTAATATCAAATCTGAGATTACTAAACAGTGCTCAAGAAAACATTCTTCTATCGATTTTTGCATTTAATTGCATTTTTCATACTAATTACGAAGTCCAATAATGTATCTAGCATTCAGACAATTTTTTATTGCACGTTTATAGCATTATATTGATTCAGAGCAACTTCAATTTTACTCTGTCATTCATGCTAATTGATAACATGTGCATTTATTATAATAAATCAATGTGGAATTGATATGGATACATTTTGATTTTGTCAGTATATATAAACTGGCAACATAAATAGTGCCATGCTCTCACACACTGCATGTTTTGATCACATCAGCTCATTTTCTGTTAATGTTTTTTACCACATAAAATAAAACGGTTAACATAAAATCAGCTGGTCTTTGTTGTTTACCCCATTAGAGTAAGTACTGCATACTAGTATTTGGTGTTCTGTTCTTTCATTGAGAGGAATTCTCCAAGCATAAGTACAGCCTCATTACGTACAACACAGTGCCGTCACACTGTACTCTTGAAAAATCAAGCACATAATAATGTATAGCAGCAAGAACACGCAGGCTGGTCTCCTCTTCAGTAAAAGCAAACGCACTCTCTTTAATAGCTCCAATGAGAAATCCAGTGGTCAGACGACAAACCCAGAGAATTCAGCATAAGAATCAAACCTACAGGAAGGCGCTGGGATTCGCCCGTGGGTCCTTTTGGTTTCTGTACCTGTATGTCAGCCAAAGCCCCAGGATCTGAAATAAGCAGAATGACGGGAGGAAACTTCACGTTAACCATTTAAAAGAATAGTTCACTCAAAAATGAAACTTGTAGATGAGGTTGTTTCTTTATCTGAACAGATTTGGAGAAATTTTGCATTACGTCACTTGCTCACCAGTGGATCCTCTGCAGTGAATGGGTGCCGTCAGAATGAGAGTCCAAACAGCTGATAAAAAATCACAATAATTCACACGACTCGAGTCCATAAATTAACATTTTATGAAGTGAAAAGCTGCATGATTGCAATAAAAGGCATTTTAAGTTCTTTCAATAATCCATAATAACTTTCTCCAGTGAAAAAGTCCATCCCATGTTGTCCTCCCAAAACAATAAACACTGAGCTGTTTTGGACTGTTTTTGCTTGTAAACAGTGCTGCTTGATCTGTGCATATTTCTCTCCTGATTCAGATAAGTTGACTTTTTCACTGGACAAAGCAATATAATAGATAGAGGACTCGTGTTTTTGTCAGAAGCAATGGTTTTAAGTTAAAAATGTCTTGATGGATTTGTTTATTACAAAAATGCAGCTTTTAACTTCACGAGATGTCACCTCTTCACAAGCTATGATGGACTGGAGTGGTGTGGATTACTTGTGGATTATTGTGATGTTTTTATCAGCTGCTTGGACTCTCATTCTGACGGCACCCATTCACTGCAGAGGATCCATTGGTGAGCAAGTGATGTAATGATCACCGATCTACATCAGAACAAACTCATCTACATCTTGGATGGCCTGAGGGTGAGTACATTTTCAGCAAATTTACAATTTCTGTATACTTTTTACAATCCTTTTCTGTAACAATTACAAATATTTTTAAGATGCCTGACAATCAGTCTGTGAAATTCAGAGAAGAACCTGAAAGATGAGAAAGCAGGAGTTAGTTTAGCAGGCTGACCTCAGTGAAGCTGAAGAAGAGGCCGATCCCTCCGACGAAGCGCAGCACCTCCCCGGCGTGCTCCTGGATCTTTGCAGCACATGTGGTGCAAGTGCTGTAATGAAAGCAGGGCTGCACAAGGGCAGAAAAGACATTGACAAGAGCACCGAGTTATTATAATGGAACAAAAACTGTGATTGCCTAACTTGTCACACACTTGCAGTTCATTATGCTACCATCAGCATGCAAATTAGTAGCACAACCATTATCACACACACAGGTGTAATTTATATCGTTCAGCACATGCAATGCTACAGGAACATAACAAAAGAACAATGAAACTTGTGTATGAGAGGAAATTACAGCGGCACAGCTTCCATTGATATCCATGTGGGAGAAACCGCAGCAGTTCAGACTCTTCTCCACGTCCCTCTGAGTGGTCAGAGAGTTATTCCAGCCCACCTCCAACAGGTGATTCTACACACAGGGATGAAACACATGTGAACTCATGACAAAACACAATATGGAACAATCAATAAAAAACAAAAGACTCTATTTACACAGATCTGAGTTTGCAGGGGTCTATTGGCAGAGTAATTTTAGACCCTTTAATGGCAGCACCAAATATGTGTATATTTCTACATATACACCATTCAAATGTTTAGGGACGGTAAGATTTGTAAAATTTTTGAGTCTCTTATGCTCTCCAAGGCTGCATTTAATACAGCAAAATACAAAAATACAGGAAAAACAGAAATATTCCAAAATATTATTACCATTTAAAATAACATTTTAAAATGAATGACAGTAATTTATTCCTGTGAATTTTTTATTCCAGCATCATTACTCCAATCCTATTATTATCCATGTTCAAAAAAGTTATTATTTTTGTTATTTTATATTTTTATAAATAACAATTTATATTATTTTAACTTTTCTTTTCCAGGATTCTTTGATGAATAAGAACAGCATTTATTTGAAATAGAAATATTTTGCCACATTATAAATGCATTTACCGTCACTTTTGATCAATTGAATGTGTCCATGCTAAATAAAAATATGAATTTCTTAAAAAAAAAAATCTTATTGACCTCAAAGTTTTGAATGGTACTGTATATTTGTAGCACATTTCCAAGACTAAAGACCACCAGAGCGGATTTATATGAGAATATTATAGTGAAGTACAGTGATCAGTCTTACCTGTTGCTCCTCATTGATAGCCAGACATGCACTGGACACTGAAAACTGAACTACAAACACCAGGAAAAGGATAATCATGTACTATTGACATTGAATTAAGGATTACAACACAAAAATACAATGCCACTATTAACACCAAGTCTACCACTATCTTCAGTAGAATCCAGAAGTTCTGTATTAAATATCAGAACTTTAAATAAAACAAAATTAGACTCAATGAGACATCATGTAAATTAAGGCACATTTAGTGGTTGTTTGTGCTTTTTCTCTTGAAATCCAGTAATAAATGGCAATGACAAACAGAATTTTATTACGCTGTATCTTAAGCTGTAATGCTTAAAATACAAATATGATTTATTTAATGTTTTATTGAGTATGAAATGTAATATACTGAAATAGTTTCTTATCCCTTAAAAGACTACCAGAATAATCATGAAATTATTCCTCCCTGAGTAACAGTGTGTAATGATATATAAGCTTCTTCCAGGACATTTTTAGAAATTGCCCAAATTCATCTCAGGATTAGTTCATTTCATTTCATTTGAGAGTCGGTTTTTTTTGCATTACAAGTAGTGCCCTGGTGTGCACTCTCATTTGTCATGTTAACGGCACCACTCTATGGTCACAGAGTGAAATGCATTACATGAGCAGATCATAATCCTGTCTCATTTCCAAAAGCAATGAGGAAAAACAGAGCATATCATGCAATGAAATGCAAAGACCTGACACACATTATCAACACACATAATGTTTTGTTTGCATGATGTCATTTAAAATAATTATATTAAAATGTATCAATATAATTAGCTGGCTATTTTGTTTCAATTGTTTGTTTTTTTTGGACTAATTACAGTGTGTCTCCAGTGATGTCCAGTTTACCTTATGAAACCGGACACTACAAGCATGGATCTTACTACATACACCAAGAAAATGAAGATTCATGGAAACTGTTTTACATGCATCATATCATTACCTTTCAGACCCTCACATAATTATTGCAAAAGTACAGTTGGGTGGATGACATGACATGCAGTTCTACGTGTCCATGATGTCATATACTAATAAAAATGGGTATTTGTTAAAAATTTATATCTTTATGTTGTTCCTCTGACAAGATATTATTACAGCATACCATAGCTTTACTGGTGTATAAAGACCTCTACTTCAAATTTTTATCTAAACATCAAAATTGTCATATGGTGTGACTGTCCGGACTATGTGTGACCTTACTAATATGACAATATATCTCAGCAAATATAAATAATTGATAGATTTACAGTTTAAGTAACAGAATTAGGCATTTTTAATGGACACAGAAAGTGTTGATGTCTGTGCATGATTTTAAAGCAAGTTCTGGCTAAATACATTTTGTCCGTAAAATGGGTGTCATATGGTGTGACATTACAATCTGTATTTTGAACGGGCAATAATTTGGACATCATTATGATGAAGAGGTCCACACTCAACCAGGAAGCTGCAGTGTCCTCTCTGGAGTGGTTTGGAAGGTGAAGAGGTGAGTTCTGACTTTTTAATTGTTAATTAAAAAGCTCTGTCACTGATGTGCTCATTAGTGGTCAGTGTTTTGTGTCTTATGGTGTGACATTATTTACATAAAAATTAAACACTTTTTTACAAATTTTACTTATAAATTCTTAAAAATCATTGCTGCCATGTGGCAATTTACATGCTAAGTATAAGCTAGCTGTTTTTAGTTAACAAAGAGATTGGCTAAACTGAACAAAACGTCATATGGTGTGACACTGTATCATATGGTGTGACTGTTTTTCCAAGTCACACCATATGATACTTTTGTCACACAATATTACATACACCTTTTTTAATGATAAATAAATAAATATTAAAAACATATTGAAAGAATTTAATGGTGTACATTAAATTGCCCATACAATTAATATATTCCTTTTCAATTTTATACTTAATTTAACCATGTTTGCTATGCTTTACATATTAAAAGATGTCAACCATTAACTTTAAAATTATTTATTCATTCGACCATAGTGAAGGATACAAAGAACAGCAGAACCTGGTGGTGCTTCATGGCGCCAATAAGTCCAGCTAGGGCAACAAAGAAGAGGAAGACGCCCACTCCAATGATGCCACCCACCACCTGGAAGCTCGACACCAACCCAAAACACTTGCCCCAGGCAGCGATGCCGATCATCAGCAAACTCACCATCTGAAGACAGAGAGGAGCAGTGCTGTTAGTGTTAAGTAAAACTATAAAAAATTGCAAATATTAAAATAAAATTCAAATATTAGATGAACTTAAACTTTAAAAAACTGAAAACTAAAATGAAAATTAGAAATGTTTCCTTGGAAACTAACTGAAATAAATAAGTTGAAGTTGAAGTATAAAATTACTAAAAGTAAAACTGAAATAAATATAAATTAAAGCTAAATAAAAATATATAAATCTAATTCTAAAAAAAAGTCAAACCACACAACTGAAAATATAAAAATTAAAGCTAATTCAAAATATTAATATATACTGTACATAATACTAAAATAATACTGGTGAAGAAGGAGAATACAACAAATCATTAATGAGGGATTAAGACAGCAAATATTGGAAATACAGCAATAACAAAGTAATTCTCAGGAGATTCCACTTAATTTCAATAAATGCTTTGATTTTCAATATTTAGTATTACATTTTCCGATTCCGAAAGAAGGCATGCCCTTTAGTATTCAGTTTTGTGGTCAACTTTTTAATTTTTCTAGAATGGTTTTAATAATGATGGCAGAATCTTAAATATCTAGTTATAGCCAAGGAAAAACTAAAAAGTTACTAATTAATAGACTAATTGAAATGTTTTAAATGAAACACACACACACACACACACACACACACACACACACAATTAAAGTTAAATCTATCAAATAATGTGACTGGGTTCAGGTTCCTGTTAATTCTGTCAGTGGTGATTCATGGGAACACAAATGGCAGGCAAATGGCACCGTTTTCTGAGAATGGCCCAACAACAGCTGTGATGTCACTTGAGCAATAAAACACAAGCACACATTATAATACAACATGTTTAAGCCTATTCACTCCTTAAAGCAGAAATGAGTATTTAGAGGTTAGTCCTTATTGCTCTCATTTACCAACAAAGAGATATGACCCCCTGAGCTGCTGCTTCCACCTATTAAATAACAAGTGAATGACCCCAGCTGATAATCATGTTTTCTTTCTCATCTAATGTACATGGTGAGTGCAGACAAGAGCTTAATCAGCACCACAATATCAGCTCCAGACTAATGAAGCAGGATCTCAGTAAAAGTAGAACAAAAGCAGGATGTGATTTGCCAAAACAGACGAGTTGCGAGGAAACCGGGATGTGATTCTACAGGCTGCGCTTGAAACCAGAACCGCTCATCGGCCTCATTCCACACAAAGAATCTCTAAATAATTCACATGAATCCTGAGACACCGAGGACTGCAATACAGCCACACAGAAACACCTCTTGTATGAGTATTTCTGAAGCAGATGTGCTAATGTTACGATAAAGGCTGATAAAGATGTTCCATATGGTTAACGTTACTCACAACATAGAGGATGTTGAGCGCGCACAGGGAATTCTTGGAGCAGGTGAATCCAGCGCAACCCATCTTGAATGCTGTTTTTCCGGACAAAAGCTTTCACCCGTGAAAATTCTGGAAATACCAGTTACATGACAAGCAAATCCAACAATTTAAGAGACGAAATTGTAGTTGAGCAACGAGAAAATAAGATGCGTGTGGTTTAGACCAGTTCACCGTGAACGCTGATGCATGAGAGGTTGCCAGATCCCCAAATAAAATCCATCCCTTTTTTTAGGATGAGGGTGGGTTGCTTTGAGATGCCTTTAAGCCTAATGGATTCTGACGACAAATTAAATAATATAATATAATATAATATAATACTAGGAACCACTAAATGAGTCATTATGCAAATTATCCAAGTTGTTAATTTCTGTATATAGAAAATACACAATGCACAATGGAAATACAACTGTACAATAGTGATGCTATTGATATATATATATATATATATATATATATATATATATAATTTTAATTAATATAAATAACTATTTTAAAATTTGTACTTATATAATATAATTTCTTTATGATATAATGAATATGCAGCATATAGTATTTAAAAAAAAATACTGCTACTGGTGCCTTCTCAGTAAATAGGTTCCTCTGGCAGGCTCCTTTCTAATAACTACAGGAGCAAAGTCACTTATAAGAAGAAAAAAAACCCTTACTCATTTATTTATTTATTTATTGTCCATTGTATATTTTGTCTTGACAGACTAAAAGCAATAATTTACCATTGAGTCAGATACCATAACAAGTTGTATGAATACCAAGTTATACTTTTATTCTCATAAAATATTTATACACATTTTATGTATGAAATTACAATCCAACATTCCAAGAAGGGCTTTACTCCGACATGGCAACCATGTAAGGAGGCGGGACTGGCCGTGCGCGGTAAAATTGATTGGTCAGTTTTCGTTGAATAATGATCGTACAGATTCATTGACAGGACGTGGTTTGCACACATTCCCGCCTCCCCTTAGCAACAGTTGTGAGGACAAGCACAACTGTATTCCATATGGCCAAGAAGTCAAAGATGAAAAATGTTGATGATATGATTATAACTACTGCACTGTAAGGTTAAAGGGGTCAGCAGTATAGTCTACTTTGTGCATCTTCCAGTTTATGCCTCTGTGTCTGTCCTTATTCACATAGTTTGCGCTGAAATAAAATTGATATTTTTACATTAGGTTTAACATTCTTCCATTTTTATTTTGTTATATTAATTACTGTGAAATGTATATATGGGGGCCAGGACTAGCCTATTTGTCACAAT